CGTAACCCTAGGTCAATGCCAGTCAACGCGTTGCGAGCAAAAATTCAACGTACGACGTTCGAAACCCTAGGGTTAACACCGGTCAACGCATAACCCTAGGTCAACGCCAGTCAACGCGTTGCAATCAAACAGTCAACGTACGACGTCCAAAACCCTAGGGTTAACGCCGGTCAACGCGTAACCCTAGGTCAACGCCTATCAATGCGTTGCAATGAAAAAAAATCTTACTCCGAAAAGTATACGAGTATAAACTGCTTCTTACTCCGAAAAGTATACGAGTATAAACTGCTTCTTACTCAAGTATACGAGTATAAACTGCTTCTTAAAGACTCCGAAAAGTATACGAGTATAAACTGCTTCTTAAAGACTCCGAAAAGTATACGAGTATAAACTGCTTCTTAAAGACTCCGAAAAGTATACGAGTATAAACTGCTTACTCCGAAAAGTATACGAGTATACTGCTTCTTAAAGACTCCGAAAAGTATACGAGTATAAACTGCTTCTTAAAGACTCCGAAAAGTATACGAGTATAAACTGCTTCTTAAATACTCCAATAAAGTATATGAGTATAAACTGTTCCCTAATTTTTTGAGAAGTTCCTGGAGAATGTTTTCTATAAATATTCTTAAGGATAACTCAACAATACGACGCCGGACAACGTGTTGCAGATAAAGACTCGACGCCAACAATCGATGGTCAGCTAAATCAGGAACCGACTTCAAAATTCAAAAATTCCGACAACGGTCAGACAATAAATGCAGCACCGAAACTCTTTCAGACATTCGACAAAGCACCGAATAGCCTGGAGAATTGAAGGAATCAAGAACGGAAGTCATTCCAAGGTCCCATTACACCGACTGAAGGTGGGGACAATCATATCCAAAGTATTCCAGACTCTTCTATAAAAGAACGAGACTGAAATACTTTGGAGGGGGTATCTGTAGGCATATAAAATTGCTTATAGGTCCCTTAGCTCAGCTCGGCACAAACCGACGAACCAACGAGGCGACGAGATCGACGAATCGCACGCAAGCAACGGAATACATCCATTCGCGTGCGGGATCAAGCCAAGTGTTCGAAGAGTCAACGAGTCAAGATCGATTTCGGACTCGAACTCAGAAGTAGATTTACTGTCTAACGAATCACGAACGAGTCAAGATCGATTTCGGACTCGAACTCAGAAGTAGATTTACTGTCTAATCGGGATCCGGATTTACTGCCAAATCAGATCAACGAATCAAGTCTGGATAAGTCAACCACAAATCGAATCCGAACCTATCAACCGCAGAACCGGAAAACGGGCACAAAGAGGCAAAACGACAAACACCTGGAGGTCGGGGAGACTCAGATCTAAAAAAGATCTCAACTTTGGGACATCAAGGACTTGCTCATCCAGATCTGGTGCTCGGCGATCATCAACGTCAAATAAGGCAGGTGTTCCACCTCCTTGGTGGCTCGGCGGCCACCAAGGTGGCTCGGCCACCACCGAGCCACCAAGAGGTGGCTCGGTCACCGAGCCACCAAGGTGGCCGGCCGAGCCACTTGTGGCCGGCCACCCTGTGCCCAAGGCACAGTGAGGATAGCCTATAAATAGGCCACCCCCTTGTTCATTTGAGAAGGTTGGATTTTGGAGGAGGCGAAGCCCTGCAGGATTGGAGACTCAGATCTAAAAAAGATCTCAACTTTGGGACATCAAGGACTTGCTCATCCAGATCTGGTGCTCGGCGATCATCAACGTCAAATAAGGCAGGTGTTCGAGAGGATCGGATCTCAGATCTACGTTGCTACACTCCGGATCAAAGCTTGGTCTTTGATCCCGAGATTTGGACGATTGTTTCCTTGGTGAAACAATCCTCCCCGGCTATTATTTCACTCGTGAAATAATACCCGTTGTACTGCGTAGATCCGACCGGATCTAGATCGCGCGGTGGTCCACGGCAAACAACCCCGGCGCAGGCAAAGAACCCACAAAGCGAGCGACCGCAAAACAGGAGCTCGTGATTCGTTCGACAAACAAGGAAACAAAGTTGTAATTTTCATTTCTTTTCAATTTGATTTTCGTTGTAACCGGATCTTATAAAAAGACCGGATCTTTGTAATCGATAGACTATTACAAGAGTGTACAATGGAATCATTAATGAAGAAAGCAACGAATTTCCCCGCGAACAGTTCCTAAACAAGGTGAATGGAGGTGAATGGTTCCCCTAACTTCCCTTCACCCTCATTCCCCTCAATCCAAACAAGCCCTAAGGGTTGTCTCATTGGTGGACTCTCATTCTCCTTTTGCTTCCATGGCTCCTATTGCAGATGAAGTTCGTGCTGGTTTGTCTGCTATTGGCTGCTCTGAAGTTTTCTATGTAAGGCACACTGATAATGGTGTTGCCCATGCTCTAGCTAAGTTGGTTGTCTGTTTGTCCTCTTATTTTTGGTCTGTTTCTATCCCTCTGTTTTTGAGACAGAGTGTTGTTGATGACTTGGCTGGTTAAGTCGTCCTACATACCTTTTCAAAAAAAAAAAAATGTTTAGATGCAGCGCACGAACCCTATACTAGTTACCAAAAAAGGAGAAAAATTGTGAAGTAAAGAAGAAAAACGAGGCAGAGTGGAAAATACCTTGGCGGTTTCGGGGATCTCGTCGCAGGCGATCTCACGCTTGATGTCGCCGAGATTCGTGTGAAGAGTGACTGACTGCAACAATGATCATCATCAGCATCATCTTCGGAAAAAGAGGAAAAAAAACAACAAATTTAAACAGAAAGAAAAAAGGTTTAGGGTTTTGAAAGGGCATATTTACTCATCACTGGTATATTCTTCTACGAGCAAACGATTCTTCTAGACTCTGGAACTACGAAAGTTCCTCCCTCGCTTTGATTCTTCGAGGCTCATCATATTTTGGGCACACTCTGCAATATAAGGATGAGAAATGGGCGTCGTTCATCCGTGCAAATTCTGGTCGTAGACCACAATTAATGAGAACTGGGTTTTTTTTTTTCTTATTAGGCCAAACAAGGCCTTTTATTGGCCTGGTGCGGAAACCAAGCTCTAAATCCTTTTCTTTCGCTGATAGGTAGAAAAATGGCGACTCGACCATTGCCAACATCTTGGTGGAGCAGAAAAATGAAAAAGAAGGAAAATTACCAAAGATTTTCGCTGAAGAAGCAAATGCGGAAACGAAGCTTTTAACCGCTGAAAGTGAATTTTTTTTTTATTAACAGTTCTTTTTTAACTAGACATCACCGAGCTAACGATCCAGTCAAAAATTTACACGAAAAGCCACTCAAGGTTCTTCTCGTGCTCTCGTTCTGGCTGATGATCCTATCACGAATTTATCAAAAAAGAACCGGAACTTCCATGCTTAATTTGCAAAAAATCAGAAGCCAACGTTTCAAAACCCCACCACAAACTTCCAGTATTTACATCCACAAGGACTCGATCAGAATCCGAGCAATTCAACTCCAAAATCGTGTGCGATCCCGTGCAAGACGATCCCGTCACCGACGTAAATCTCCGGCTCAACAACCTCGACCCCGTTAACATTCACCGCGCTCCCGCTCCGCTCACCGCCTGTGATCATAAGCATCCAACGGTCCCCGCCACAGTCCTCACCCCCTCGCCGGTCCCCATCCCCATCAGCTCTCCGTAAAGAAACCTCCCCACCGCCACGTGTCGTCTCACCGCCCCCTCCAGCAAGTACGCCTCACACGTCACGTAGTCGAATCCGCTGTCCCGCGGAGCGAACACCGTAACCTGCTCCGGCGACGATTCTTTCAGAGAATCAAGAATCGCGTTGAGACCGATGGCGAAGGGGACGTAGCCCTTCGATCCTAGGGCCCTGACAGCGCGATCCCAGTTGGGTTCCGTCGGAGGCAATGGACTGACGCGGGAAAAGGGCGGCGACGCCGTGGACGGCGTGGGCCCGCTGACGAAGAGGTTTGGGCGGGTGACGGGGACGCCGTTGATGGAAGTTTGGGAGGTGAGGGTGAGGTTAGGGAGGGGAGGAGGGTGGGATGGGGGAGCCACGTGGCAGGCGAGGAGGGAGGGAGGGGGGTAGGAGGGGGGGAGACGTGGCGGCGGAGGAGTCGTCGCGGCGGCGGGGGAGAGGGAGGAGAGGGCTTCATCGGGAGGGCGAAGAGGGTGGACGGGGACCGCGGTGAGGGCGTGGATGGGGGCGCGTGGAGGGCGGCGGCCGGTGAGGTGGAAGCCGGAAGCGTGGAGGGCGAGGAGGACGTCCGTTTCTTCTTGATGGCGGAGTTCTCCGGAGGTGGAGATGGCGGCGATGATGAGGGCGACGGCGGCGGTGACGTAGACGGGGGCGTGCACCAATGGGAGCACGAGGCGGAGGAGGAAGAACATGCGAAATACGAGACTGCCCTCTTCTCTGTTTTTCTTGATGTGAGAGTTAGTAGAGGGAGAGAGGAGAGCAGGGGTGATTATGGACGTCACGATGCTTCCTTCTGTGTGTGAAGGCAATTAATTTGAGCTATGGATACTGGGTTTTTTTTTTTTTAATAATGGTTCTTGAGTTACACCATTAATTAATTATTAGGCTAATTTAGATAGTTTAATGAACTTTGTCATTGGTTAGCCGTTATAATGCGCCGTTATTAGGATAAACTACACTTAAATATCCTCTTGTTAGGTCGGCGTTGCACCAAAATATATTCAGTTTAAAACCTTATACTTAAAATACCCTAAAGTTTTTAGGGTTATTTCAATATTAATCCCCTAAAGCCTTTAATATTTTGGTATTAGTTCCTCAAATCATTGAAATCGCTCTCAGATACCCCAAATCCTATCAAAGTTTGGTAACTGCTTAACTATGGATAGTTAATTACTTAACTATCCTCATTAATATATATTGCTGATAGCTTTAGTACTCTAATAAATCCAAAATTAATCATGTTCCGGTGTTAAAATTGTAAATAAGTTGAAGTTTTCCCCTCAGCAACTTTATCGAAAAGATCTAGTGGCTTTTGGTTCCCCCAGTCAAGCCTTTTGGAGACAAGTTTGCTTCGATCCCTCCGGGTTTTGATTACATAGCAGAGGGTCGCAGGAAGAGAGTAGTGGGCAAGGCCAAGGTTCGGAGAGCCTTGGCCCACAAAGCTTTTGTTCGTCATCTGGCAACCACTAGATCCTTGGCATCTTCGGCCAAGCTCAGTAAGTCTTCCTCCTCATGCTCAGTCTCCCTTCCCCTTAACCACAGATTAGACTCCATGCTAGCCACCGTGCTATCTAATTGTGTAGCCAAAGAACATATCTCCTCCGAGGGCATTGATCGCCTTAGATCGTTAGAGTCTGATAGGGCAGCCTCTTGACCTACCTCATCTCTCCTTGGTGTTGTTCTTCTCTCCATCCATAAAGATTGGATCTTGGAATGTCAGGGGCCTTAATGACCCCATTAAAAGAAGATTGGTTAGAGACAGTATCCTCTTATCCTCTATAGACTTAATAGGGATTTAAGAATCCAAACTTAGTACCATCAGACCTCTTGTCCTCAAGAAAATTGGTAGTCATAAAATTTCATCCTGGCTCCATCT